TTGAGTTTTATAAGGGCACCACGGGGTGACCAGCCCCTCCCCACCCAGCCCCACCCCTCACACCCCCACCCAGCCCCACCCTCCCCACCCAGCCCCTACCCACCCTCCCTCCCCACCCAGCCCCACCCTCCCCACCCAGCCCCGACCCACACTCCCCTCCCCACCCAGCCCCTCCCTGCACGATGGACGGACAGACACAATAATCCCCTGTGGGCTGGTGTAACCAGGAGGTTCCTACCAGTATAATCCGCCTAACACCTGCACTTGATATAATTTCATCGCTCCATCTCCCCAGTGGAGTACTCTCGGACGTGTTCCATTCCTTTGCTGCCACTCGGTTATTATTATTGATGATGATCGACCATCGTCTCTTCTGGTCCTGCCCAAGCCCGCTTAGTTGTCCACTTACTTTTTAAAATAGTTTGGATGACATCAATAAACCTGTGTTTTCTCGAATCCTCAGTCTGTCAATGTAATTCCAGGCATGCATCTCACAATCAGTCGTTTTTATTTATTATAAAAATGTTTTTTAATTGCCTTTGCACAGCGCATGTATCTGTATGAATGACTTAATAAATCTGTTAAATGCTACCGTGCCAGAAATACGAAACCAACGTGGGAGATAAAGGTGCGCAGCTGTCTCGCGGAGAGAAACAGCGGGTGGCGATCGCGCGTGCCATTATCCGCGACCCCAGGATCCTTCTCCTGGACGAGGCGACATCAGCGCTGGACACCGAGAGCGAGCAGGTGACGATCTCACACGCACGAAGCAACGCGCTTAGGAGCCAAAAATCTGTCAAAACTTGACCCCTCTCTGTACGCACGCGTACTTTTTACACCTCCACCCCCCCAATCCTATAGAACGGCCGATATTTAATCCACGCAGTAACGATCAAGGATTAATAATATTAACGCGTTTAAGCAAACAGATATCTTCTTGGTTCAAGAAGACGAATCCCTGCAGTCACGAAAGCTTTAAGCAAACAGATAAAACAGATAGTCCACCGCCGGACTGTCTAATTCATTTGAAGGCCAATGTAGACAAATTATTATCGAGGCTTCACCCCCCCCCCCCCACCGTTCTCTATGCGTACGGACACTGTCAGTAGACCCCCAAAGTTTCATTTATTACTGAATGGATGGCTCCTTACGGGCCACGCAGGGTGCGTATCCAGTGGCGATGCTTAGTTGTGGGATGCGGCATCTGGCGTGGTTGGGAAGTTGGGGTTGTGGTCTGGGAGGTCGAGACCCAATGGGATCATTTCTTTGTCGTGATAACGTTTGTTGTTGTTGTTGTCTGTGTTATTTTTTTGGTGCCATTGATTAATTTGTTTATTAGTTTTTTTTTATTTTGCTCCGTAGTAGGGTTTTCATTTGCTTGCTGTAGGTGTGTGTGGGTGTGTGTGTATTGGGATTCTTTCGCGCCATGCGTAGCCAACCGCGTGTATGGGATTTGGTCCTTAAAAATAATGAATGGTCGCGTGTTGTGAGATGCCGTTGGCATGAATTACGCTATATAAAATTAAAGTATTATCTTATAATCAGGTAGGTGTTTCTGTGTGACCAGATTGGTAGAAGGGTGCCACGTTGGCGAGATGTTAACCACCTTGCCTGGTATACAGGAGGTCGTGGGTCCGATCCCAACCCCGACGCCGGTATATTTGGAGTGGATTTTTCTCCGGGTCTGTTGGTTTATCCTTCCAGTTAGAAGCGTGTGCTTAGAGTATTTAGATGCTATAAATTTCCACGTGATGTTAAGCCACTTTGTTGAGCTATCATTTGTGGCCAAGTCGCTTCTAAAAAAAAGCTATTCAGCTCAGTGGGCCTTACCAGGTAAAATAAAAAATATCTTGATTTGAAGCTTTCGTGACTGCAGGAATCCATACTCTTTGGTTCCTTCGGTAGTCACGTAGAGTAGAAATATACCCACGTGACGTAGAAAAATACCTACGCGACTTTACCGAAAGAACAAAAAATAAAAAGTTTTTTTTACTTTATTGACACCGTAATGCATGAGAATGTGTTAATGTTAATCGTGTGTGTTTGAAAACTGTTGCGCAGACCGTGCAATCGGCGTTGGATCAGGCGCGCCAGGGCCGCACGTGCATCGTGATCGCTCATCGCCTCTCCACCATCCAGAACGCCGACCAGATTGCCGTCATATCCCAGGGGCTGGTCATTGAGAAGGGCACTCACAATGAGCTCATGCGTGCGCAGGGCGCGTACTACAAGCTGGTTACAACAGGCGTTACCATGAGCTAAGGTCGTCGTTATTTATACGGCAGAGATTCACTTCCGAATGTTTTCCGGGTCTCTGGTAGACTGGAGTAGGTGGCGGGTGACAAGCAGCCACAGCCATGGCGTATTGTATACTGGATGTGGTGTGCCGGGTACGGAAATATTTTGCAGGTCGCCGACCTGGACAGACCAAGCTGAAATTAAATGACACCGCTGAAATGTCACCTTTACGTTTTCATTTAGAGTGTAGTAAACTATGAAATCGCATTTTATTTTCCATTACCACTTAACCCGGCTCACTCTTGCAAGAGAGATGTGTTGTCGCAATGCTGACAACATCACTCAGCACTTGTTGAGAGACCTTAAGATTGCATTGTATCAGAGGTTGGGGAACGGATGGCCCATGGGCCAGACATGGCCCACAATTTCCTTTTTTCCAGTCCGTGGCTACGTGAATGCCTCACCACTTTGAAATGGTCCACAAAAGACATCCTTCACTGAAGGAGGGGAGGCGGCGGAATATTTTAAACCTGGCAACGATGCCGCGTTTATCATTTGAGCGCGCTCAGTCACGCAAACGCCTCTTGCAGTGGCAGGAGTTGACTTGAGCTGCGTTAGTGGACCGTCAAATCTACGTGAAGTTTTATTCGAGCCTCGCCAAGTAGAGGGTTCTCCATCCCCGAGTTATATAAACTGTCATAGGATGTAGTGTAACGTTGTTTTCCCCCCTGCAATGTGTGGACGTACACACATGGGCTTAATGCTCTTATGTAAACATATTTACACACACCAACTTTGTTTTACATGCAATTGTGAGCATCGTGCTGAGATTATGAGATTATGATCGTACGTGGATAAGATATCCTGATTAATGGACGTTTTATTGTTGGAAACATTTCATGTTTATATTAGCCTCAAGCATGTTCAATCCCTCGTGACAATCCACTGCTGGATGAGGGCCTCCCCACATGCCTGGCAGGCCTTGGTGGAGGGGGGGGGGGGGTTATTTGACCATACTTCACCATGCTGCGTCAGTGCGGGTTGGTGCTGGCGGGGAGCAGACGTGGCAGCATAGTACACTATCACAATAGATGTTGCTGCAGTTCTCTGCTGCCCACCACATAACCCAGCAATAAAACCTATAGCGTCCCGTTTGTGCGTGATGGTTACCCATCCAAGCACCATGCAGGTTCAAATCCCTACTTAGCTTTAGATCTGGGTGCATTCTGGGTAATTGGAAAGTAGAAAGGTATATGTTATATTGTCCGCTAGTCGTGTTGCTCATTCATTTAATTCTACTGTGGAAGGGCAAGTGGTTTGCCCTTTAGATTTATTGTTCTCAGCCATTGCAATGTGGAATTTCCACCATTGGCTCAGAACCGTCAATGCAAGACGCTCCATTTTTTTTAGCAGGGAGATGTTTTGACTTAAGATTGGGATGTAGTCGAGCGTCTTAACATGAGACTTAAATATAGGTTAATGTAGAGAAATGCTATGGTACATATTTTACACGGATTGTATTGAAAGGTTGTTGCCGATTAATAATGAACACATACTAATATAGTGTTGTGCACTTGGGATATCCAAAATAAAAAAAAGTTGGTCCAATTAAAAAGATGTAAATGTTGTGGATTTTCTCCAACACACCGGTGTGCTGTGCTAGTAACGAATTAGCACATTCTGTTTACATGACAACCCTTACTAATTGGCTGTGGCGGGTTTAAAGACATTCATATTTACGCGATCTCACCCAAAAAAAAACCTGTATTACCAATTAACAAGTTCTATATTCTTCAGGCATGCTGGTCACAGGACGCCATTTCACACGAAAAAAGCACAAAAAAGCCTCATTGAGGCTCAACTCGCGTTGGAGCAAATCATGCACTGTGATGTTTACCCAACTCACGACCATGCTATTTGTGGGAGGAAATTGGAGTACATGGAGAAACTGCACACACGAATGGGTGATACCCAGACACAAGTGCAAGTCTTCACCTCGCTCCCTTGCAAGCCCAGCAGCGTTGGGAATCCACGAGCAAATCTGTGATCCAACAACTCCGCCGACAGAATGAGCCAACAGGTAGTTGTGGCAGAAGGTAGATGCTCAGCTTCAATGAGCTTGGGCCATATTCATAGCGTGCTGTGATACAATGCTTGCAAGTTTTGCAACAGTCAACTCATGCGCAAGTCAATATCAGCCATGACTTATTCACTGCTGGATCAAGGGCTTTCCACGTTACCACCATGAGGCTTGCAATAGTTGATCTAGCTCCCACACGAGTTGTCATCACACGATCTCCATGGTGGTTGTCATCTTCAGCATGTTATCAGTCTTGACCATCGGCCATCACCCCCTTCTTCTCAGGTCACTTTTCAAGTTAATATCTCGAATTTGCATGTTCTCTTGCCTGTGTTCATCTTTCTCTGCAATTGCAAGCATGCATCTCCAGGTTTGTTTTTCTGAGCAGATTGTCTCACTACATGCCGCCAATAATACAATACACTGGGAATTGGAGCCAAACCTCCTGAAATTAAGTGGTTAAAACCTACATATTACTTCAAATATCAATAAAACATCTATTGCATACACAACTATAATTAGAATATAAAAATGATGTACTCATTTTCATACACAGCTGGCATATGGCTGTATCTGTTATCCGTGTTATCTGAACATACCGATGTAAGCAATAATATTTTGACGGTCTCTCGAAGGGGAGTACATAATCACACAGCTCAAATTAAACACAAGGCAAATGAGGTGACACAAATAAGGTGTATTTAGTTTTAAACATCAGTGCCTCAGCCTTGCTTCCAAAACTACATTTGACTTTGTATTAAGTAAATGTAGGCTGCTGCTCTTACAAAAAAATATCCTTCAGACATGCATCATAAAATCTTGGTACAAACGTGTATGTGCATGTTCTCACACCACAGAAATTAAGAAACACAAGTACAAAATTATAAGCGTCAAGAAATGTTTATCAACACGTTAAGCAATTTAATGTTGGTGACATGCAAGAGCAGTACAATTTGTGAGCGTTGTTATATCATCACGGGACCACAAGTAGACATCGTGCTGTGGATGTCTGAAAAGCATCGACCAAAGAGGGGGGGGGGGGGGGCTCAGCTGAGGCAGGTGCCTGTGGATATTTTAGTAATCGATGTTCTCGCCAGGGCTTCGAATGTCATCGATCTTGAGAATCATTTTGACCATCTGCGTTGCAAGAGAGATCTGTTGTTTTTTACCAATCAGCGTCTCTATAACATGCTGTTCCTTCATGTCACCTGCAACAACAACAAAGACCCACAAATATTACACATTATAAATGAAGATAGCAAAATGGCAAACTACACAAAGGAGTGAAAGAGAGTAACTAAAAATGATATGCTGTATCTACTCTTAGATGTTAGGACTTTATATTTTAGGGGGAAAACTGTTCATATAATGTAATTATGAATTGGCAAATTACGATAAACCCTTCACAAAAGTAATGTTACTTTATAAAATTGTCAGTCGACATTTATTTCCGAATGTCAATGGATGGAATAAATCAATAATAAATATATAAGTGATACAAATTATCGCGATTTCAATACAAATACTCCAAATTAAGACAAAAACAGGTCTCAATGCCTCGTGCTGCAACTCTCCACGCTTAATTTCGCACATTTTAGCGTTTGCCCTATTACAAACATTAATTTTATTGACTTTTGCCCCTTTTGAGTCTCCTTGGAAAGAGAACATCAATCAGGCACGCAATAGAGGGTGTCCCAAGTAGACAATTATTTACCCTTGGAAGATGACTGCATGCAGTTGATGCCCAGGTAGGGTTTCTTCTCAGCCAGCTGGCGAGACCGCACCTCTGCGAGAGCCCCAATGGAGTTGAGGCCACTGTTCTCGGCCAGCGCCATGGGAATCACCTCCAGCGCATCGGCGAACGCACGCATCGCGTACTGCTCCAAGGTCGCACACTTGAGGGCACATGGGTACACAACGCGTGTCCGTTGAGCACATTGTTGTAAGAGACTACACAGCCACAGCGAAATCCGCATGCAGGCCACGCCAGTGAAAATAATTGATCTTGAACAAAATTTTCCATGCGATAAAGGGATGTAACCATTTACAGTCGATGCAATTTAATGAACGTTGACAGTTTGTTTCACACGTTTTTTTGTACATGGGATTCATGAAGATACTTAAAACGGTACACATTCCGACAAATACGAATGGAAATATGATTTTCTTAAACCAATGATTTGACACATGTAAAACACGCAAAAGAATGGATGTTAATGCATGAGTGTTTAGAACCATTGTAAATCAATCTTCATATAAAAATGGCATTCCTATCTAAATTTAATATTTTGTCAAATTTAATGCACTTCTGGTCAAGAGACATCTGTTTGTCAGGGATCTAGCACACGTAGCCTGCTTAAACATACCAATATAGCAGTTCCAAGATTATTAGATATACATTTCAGACACATTAAAAGGTGTGTGTGGGTAATTATGAACCTAATCATGAAATAGCTTTTTTATTAGACATAGTATGTAAATAAAAAAAATTTGTCAAACGTTCATCACAAGTGAGAACTGGTAAATCGATGTTGGACTGAAATTTGTATCCACACTTGGTCTGATCGTTGAAATCACTATGTCTCAAACCTAATGCCTTCTTACAAAATAAACCTGTTTCTATATAAAAACGTAATTAGTGACATACACCTAATACGTATTCTCAGAATTATTCAGAATTTTTTACTGAGGTGCAATTAATTTGTGAAATTGCCCATAATTACCATAGAAAAAAAATCATCATCACTTGGGCCAAGGGGGTGCTGCCCTTGTCAAACGCTTGAGACGAGATGTGATGCAAGTCGCGTATCGCGTGTTAAGAGCCGAGACGCTCCGGCGTACAAGACAGCTTTTATTAACCCTATCCCGTTTCAAGATGCCTTCAAGTAGCAAGTTGGGTGTCCCGTTCACCCCTGAATCTCGGAACGCGCAAGCGGTTTAGCATTCATTTTATTTAGAGAGGCGTAGCGCCGTTTGTTTTTAAAGACGTTGTACTCACCGCGGAGAACTGCGGCGACACGACCGCACTCGATGATAGCTGGTGCTAAACTGTGCCACATGCCCTCCCGCATGGCCTTGCGGGAGCCTCAGTGCCAATTAAGTAATTACAAAATTTATTCTGGTTCAGACCGGAATCGGAAGAAAAAACGATGACGTACATCATTGAAACAGGTTAAAAACAAATAATTTGCCATCGTTACCTTGTCCGCAGCTTCCGAAACGGCTAATGAGCAGCTGATTTCAGCAGCTCCGCCTCCGTACACAACGCGGTTGTCTCGCACCAGGTTGCGGATCACGCACAGAGCATCGTGGATGGAGCGCTTGGCCTCTTCAATGATCTAAAAACAGAATCCGGGGTTGCGATATCAAGGCAATGTTATTATATATATTTTACTATTAAATAAAACCACAATTACAATAAAACACAGAAAAAGGGAGCACATCGATCAAGGAACAAATAAATCAACATTTATTTGCTTTAAAAGTTTTACACGGATGACCAATTATACCACAAATCTGCAATAAAAGCTATTTCCTGACCAAAATCCTAATTTGTTGAGAGGGTGTAATCTGATGTGCAGAGCAAGCAAAATCATATCCAGGCATTGGTGCAGAGCAATGGCAATGCATGAGATGTACCAAAGCTAGTTTCTCTTACAGAAAAGACCGGGTAAATTCTTAGGTTTTTTCGGTAAAGTCACATAGGTAAAACATTATAATTAATAAAAGTAAAATAAAATAAAAATCACGTTTCGGAGGCATTAAATATTCGTGATTTTTATTTTATTTTTATTAATTTTAATGTTTTACCTACGTGACTTTACCGAAAAAAACCTAAGAATATGAATCCTTGCAGTCACGAAAGCTTCAAATCTAGAATCATTTTGTCCAATAATGTAACGTTCACTACCCTCGATGTAAAAATGGAAGTTATTAAATCCGCCTTTGGTTCATGCTGCATGACGCGTGCCTGTTTAACATCACACGGAAGTGTATTTGTATTTTTTCTGGTAATTATCAAAGGAATACCAAGATTCAGTCTAAAAGGGCTGATTGTTTTCATCGCTAACCCCACTTGGAATGGCCACTGGCGTGCACCTTTTTCTAACCAAGTACAAAGATGCAGCACTAACCCTACCACCCACCAACCACACGACAAAAGTGATGGCGGTGGCAGTGAACGCCGTACCATCTTGTTGCCTCCGCGGATGAAGATGGTTACTGCACGGGAGTTGTGGCACTGCTCGATGACCAGCATGTGATCCTTGGTGGTGCCAAAGGACAGTTCCCGCACGATGCCGGCGTGGCCCAGTTTGTCGGCCGTCAGCTCCGAGAAACGAGGGACGATGCGACCGCCCGTCGCGATGGCGATCAGCTGCGCACAGCGTTAAAGGGGCAGCGAATTCACAATGTCCACTTCACAATCGTCATCGTCAGCGTCAGCAACGATCAATCCATTCTGCGTAAATGTTGAATTGGCGTTAAATACAGGCAGACATATTATTGGCCTAACAATTAAAGTCCTGACAGCACTGTCAGGAGGGATGTCACGATTTGCCGATTAAAATGCAATCGTGTCAATAATAAGTGCCCTGAATTATTCACGTATTACAATTCATGTTTAAACATGCAAAAACTAAAATAAGATACCTCAAGTCAACCAGCGCTTATACGCCCCTTGACCAACATTTGCGAAGCAAACTGGACTAGTTTTGACATTCTAAGTCTCATCAACAGTGGACTCCTATAAATGCTGCAAGCGTACAATACATTGTATCTATTGCACGCAATTTGGTTATGAAATACCCTGCCACTATAGATTATACATGAACCACAATATAAAAAAAAATATTAATCATGAATGGAATTGTGACAGACTCATGACAAATGATAGAGCGGAGGTTCCCCATGTGAAGTATAACAAATAACACAAACCTCAATCTCGTGTCCTCCAACCCAACGCACAGCTGGCAGCTCGTTCTGCAGAAGCAAGTGGTTGGCCTCATCATCGAATCCCCACTGGCAGATGGCTAGGTTCGCTCCAGTTTCCTTCACCTGTACACACACATATGCACATGGGGGCAATGCCAAGATAATAAAATTAACCCGTAAAAACAAAGTTTTTCACTATAAATCCTTTATATGCGTGGCGGCTAGAGTCCTCTCGTCCTCTGGCTTGAGATGGCTGCCACCTATGGGTCAGAAGATTGCCTGCCACCATTAAGCAATTGGTAATTAAATATAATTTATTTTTTCCTAAAATGTTGAAAATATTTTTAAAAAAATTTCACGAAAATAAATTGTCAGGCAAAACGAGTCTGTGTGCAAAATGTCAGCTCGATTGGATCACGGGAAGTGGGTTAAAAAACGACCGAAAGATTTGCACGGTCGTAAGCGCGCAAGCAAGCAAGTGAACTTATTATAAAGGATTTAACAAAGGGTGATAACTTCACATGACCTGTAATATTGTGTAGAGGAGAATAAATATGGATCTGGGTATTACTTGCATGCTGCATTTCAGCCAGAGACATAGAACGCAGGTAGGTGATGAGTGGCAGAAAGTACTTCATGATACAAATGGATATCATGAATGTTTTACAATTACACTGGCAGACCTACAAGAGACTGCTTGTGCATTGACACACATGCACAAAAAGGTAATTCATGTACCATGTTCATCATCAACACTGCTTTAAAAGAAATATAAAATCGGCTAACGTGTTTGCCGATTTCCCTTCATCCGAGTAAATATTTTTGTTTAATTCATATTTGAAATACATCGCGCCATGCCACCACACGGCATATCGGGATTGAACCCACGACCTCCTGCATACCGGGCGAGGCAGATAACATCTCGCCACCGTGGCAGTCCACAGCAGGAGTCAGGTGAGGCAGTTGTCATCGTGAGAGCATACACACCTGGCGGACCATTTCAGCAAACTTCTCCTTCTCATACTGCAGCAGAGCCTTGTAGTCCTCGACACATGTCACATCCAGCTTGTGCTTTGTCTTGGGCTTTGGTGGTTCGAACGGGCATGTAAGAATGGCGATCTTGGCATTAATCACCTCCTACAAGGGGGAGAACAAATCATAACATTTTGAGTCTCCGGGTCTTCTCAACGTGCAATAAATCTGTTGAAGCCTTGTCCTGCACACTCATATTACAGTCCGTGAGAGATATTAGAGGTGTAATGATTCACGCCCAAGTTCTTACAAGCACAATTTAACGTAAGTATCGTGTTCATAAGAATCGATATTAATAGATGAACCAATGTTTCCACCCATGATCATACATTAAAGCACATATTTGGCTGTGATATAAATGTAACAAATGACACAAGTTAATATGTAAGACATGAACTTATACACTTACATAATGTATGACATAACTGTCAAGGTTAATGAGCATGTGATATGTATTATTGTACTGTATTTGCAAGCTACGTTGCACTGTGAACAGTGCAAGAATATAGGCATGTGTATCTACTATGCCCTGTATTATGCATTTGTGGTGTACCTTTTGTGTTCTCTATAAAGAAAATAATTTATCTGCACATGTTTATGTACTGTACGAAGATGTGCTACATGCACATAAATTTTGAAGCCATTTTTTCTTTGGGTGGTATTAATATACCCAACCACAAAGCAATAACACTGTAATACTTACGGTCGTAGGTGGATCAGGGTAGAGCAGTGGCACATGGCGCATCGCACTATGAACCGAGTGACTTGAATACGAGTTGTGGCCATGGCTACCATCAGCAGTGTGTAATATCTGAGACCCACCACATCCTGGCCCATCACTTCACCAACAAGCACTGACCAGCGTGTTGAAATGTGGTCAAACGGCCCCCCATGGTCAGTTGGGCACATGGTGGGGGCGCCTTTATGCTGCGCTGCAGTGGATTGAAAGAGATCTGTAAAATAATCTCTTGTGGGGCGGTGTTTGTATTGCGTACGCGTGCATTATTAAGCACCTTGGGCATCTGTGGGTGGCTGAAGTCCTTGTCTACGACGACGCCCTTGATGAGCGCTGTGTCGTCGAGCCGTCCGCCCACTTTGCCCTCCACCTTGATGAGTTCGAAGTCGACGTCTTTGCGCTCCAGATCGGCCACGGACAGGACCGCATTCACGGCAATTTCGGCCATCATTCGCTGGCAGCGGTTCACACTACACAGGCGCATAAAAAAGTATTCAAATAATCAATACAAATACAGGGGGGGCTCATATTGTAGGTTTTTCGGGTTAGATCGCGTTAATATAAATGTGTCGTTAAACCCGCCACCACCCGACACTCTTTCACGATGTAGAATTAAAATAAAATGCCATATAGTTTATCAGCTCGTGGACCTACTGAAACAATGTTAACAACACCAGTTGTTTAAGAAGGCAAACTATATGGATTTCAAGTTTACAAGTCTCATCAGTCATGTGCTGAAACAAACCCAAAAGGTTCATAGACCAATGGACAAACCATTAGATTTTTTCTTTGAATACAAATTATGTTCATTTACTGCATTATTCACATTTGTTTCACCATAACAATTTACACAAATATTATTAGCTTGAGGAATTCAGTGAAGCCGCTCAGATGAAAACAAGATTCAACGGCATTCAGAAGTGTTCACAATCATTGGATAACACTAGTGAAATCCATTATTGCACTGAATAACGATTAATGCAACTACAAGAGACCTAATTATAATCACTGTACTCTCACAAGGTACAGACCATGGTGGACCCCTAGTGTGCAGATAGTGCATTACTGTACTACACGTACATCTTGGAGCCCAACGTAGTCATTGCCGTGAGCACGAGGGACTCGGTGTTGGCTGGGTCCACGGGGTACGACTCGGCAATGGAGTCGAGGTGAGCAATGGCCACGCGCGCCGCTTGCTCGTAACCGTCGGAGATGCGGATGGGGTGAATTCCTCGGTCCAGGAGCTGCTCGGCCTGCTCGAGCAATGCGCCTGCAAGCACTGTTTCACAAACCAGCCTTCGGTGAGCACATCGTAAGCCAACGAAGTACCATGTATATAAGATAGGCACGTCTTGCTTTCACAGATGGGTGCTGTGGTGGCGAATTGTTAACTACCTCGCCTGGTATGGGGTTCGATCCTGACCCTGACGGCTATATACCAGGAGTTTGCATGTTCTCCCCGTGGTCGCTTGGAATTTTCTCCGGGTCACCCGGTTTTTTCCTGCACATTTAGAAACGTGCATTTCGAGTATTTGGCTGTTATAAATTTCCACGTGATAAGCCGCTTCATTGAGCTATCATTTGTGGCCAGGTCACTTCTAAAAAAGAGCTATGTAGCTCAGTGGGCTTAACCTGGTAAAATACAGTTTAGTTTCAATTTAGAGATGACTAAAATATGGATGTAGTAGGCTTGGTTGTTTAGGAAGCTGAAAAGAAATATTTTCGTGAAAAATAGATAGAACTTCAACCTGTGTAATAAAGCTCGCTGTGGTTGTTAGTGCACTGCCGTTTGAAATCGGCAAGCAGTTACATTCCTAGCCACAACTGCAACAATAATGGAAAGTGATAGTGGTCCTGGGTCACCGCACTTTATAACCCGCACTGACTAGCATGGCGAAATATGGATAAATAACCTCTACAGTTGATATGGCGTGGGGAGACCTTCAATTTTGTTTTTAAATCAACATATGTAATGAATCTAATGTACTGTATATTAACATTAAGTAGTTCAATTCCATTAAACATTTCACTGGTTTCTAAATGTTATTAATTAAGTTGTACAATTTTAATTCTGTAAATAACCAATGGAACCTTAACATTTTTGAAAGGTTTACATTTTACTATGCAACAAAAATACATAAATTGTTACATTTGTTGGATAAAACAGCTGATAACTTGTTCTGTAAAGTATAATAATCGATTCCATGAAACTATATAACTGACGTACAAACGTATGAATGTTGGCATAATCAGCTTGTCCTCCAGCAAGCTATAGTGCAGTGCAAATGGATGTGGTGCATAACTTAAGTCACGTACCCACAACACCAGTGGTGCCATCTCCGATCTCATCATCCTGGGAGCGTGACAACTCCACCATCAACTTGGCCACCTGGTGTTCCACGTCCATCATTCCCAGGATAGTGGCACCATCATTTGTCACCGTGATATCGCCATCCTGGCTCACAATCATCTTGTCCAGCCCTACACAGTTAGGTAAGAACACCACCATTAATACTCTTTGGTTCTTTCCGTAAAGTCACGTAGGTAGAAAATTATTAATAGATCATGTGAATTAAATATAATTCCGCAAACCTTTTCCAAAAGGATCAATAAATGAAAAGCATATAGAATAGATGTTAGAATCAGCTTCATTAACTTGTGGTAAATATTCTTTGGGTCTTTCGGTAAAGTCACGTAGATAGGTTCAAATTAATTAGAATAAAATAAACGACTACGTTTCGATCACAACACAAGCGATCGTCAGTGGTAAAATGTTTGATAAATGGTTAAGTGACATTATTTGTACGCCGATAGAATGCATTACCTTTGGGTCCAAGCGATGTCCGGAGAGTGCTTGCCACAGACTTGGCTGCCATAATGTGCGACTGTCAGAAAACACAAAGCAGACCAGCATGCAAATAACAATAAGATCACAAACCCCTTTTCCCCATCATACTGGACGATCAGTGAAAAAAAGCTTCAGAGCTCATCCGATTCCAAATCCATGCGGCCAACACAGTCTAATGATCTCGCCACTGTGCGGACCACACCCCGATATGCACCATGTGCAACAACCCCCAACCACAATCAGCTCCATCATAGGCTGGACTGCAAATACTGACATCACGCCAGAGGTCGCAACCGGGTACCCGATACCCGTACTCTACCTGATACCCGGCTACCTGTACCCGGCGGGTACGGGTAGCCGTTTGCGACCCTGGTGCGGCCGGGTACGGGTAGGCCGTGAGTCACTGGTGAGTAACCGTTTGTCACTCATTTCGGGTAGGTACGGGTAGAGAACGGCTACCCGTACCTGGCCCGGTACGGGTACCCATTTTCGACCCTGGTACGGGTACGGGTAAGGAATCAAAACCCGTTTGCGACCTCTGCATCACGCCGTCATTGCGATTCCACACGTGCATACATGCTCGACTGCCGCTGACAGACATGAATGGCCAGTTGCATAAAGCACCGTTAGTTATTGTTATCCTTAATTAGTACGACTTCGAATCACAGAGTAAACATTCCAACCCAAAAATGTATAGGTCTTGTTGTATTAGGTTGTACGTCCTAGATCGTACGATACGAGTTTGAATTCTCGGTAATGAAAAAATATATATTTATATACTGTACAAACATGGTCAGTCATTCGTGACATCACGATATATTCTAACGCGTCAAACCCGTGTTGGGACGCGGCAAGATTACAGCACCTTATATCAGCAACGGTTGGCTACGTACGGTGCGAATGAAGTTCAACATACATGCAAGAAAGGGCCCATTTCCCGAAACGTCAGCCTCTTCGTCTACATCTTTCTGTTGTCATGCAGTGCTGAAACGTAGGGCGGTGTGGACAGGCCTTCATCCAGCAGTGGATGGATAACAGTTGCAAAGCCAGTGCTATTGACGATTGTGGGTGCGTTTGTTTGTACAAGAGACGACGTATCTTTTTTTGCACAAACTCGCCGCTACACATTTGTTATATATATTTTGCCTTTGCTGTCGTCATCCCAAGTGCCCGTGGCGCATCCTCAAATGGAGAAACTGCACCAAACGCTACCAATGGGGAGGGGTAGGGGGGGGGGCTGTCGCACGCGTATTTGGGTGCCATTCTAGATTTGAAGTTTTCGTGACTTCGGACACCCATACTCTTTGGTTCTTTCGGTAAAGTTACGTAGGTACCCACGTGTTTTTAGGTAAGGTACCTCCCGTGACTTTACCGAAAGAACCAAAGAGTTTGGGTGCCATGTGTCACGCCACTCAAAAAAAACTCCCTTATCGAACGGGTCTCCCCCGTCGCGAGTGTCGATAAAATCCTGTACGAGGGGGCCTAACCTCCACGCCGTGCCGGTAGCACGGGGTCGTGGTGGCGATTATTTGACTATACTTCACCGCGTTGGTCAATGCGGGTTTTGACGTTGAGGAACGACGCACAGACGTTGTAACATTAGCACATTGGATTGTTTGCTGGATCGTCCTCTGCTGCCCACCACATAGCCGGCCCCCGTGGTATCCTGCAACATTTTGTTTAAATATGCGTGGTCACCATCCATTCATCGAGGCAATGTCTGACAAGATCTGGCGTACCGAGAGCGATTTGGTCATTGGTTCTATACACTGCTGCATAAATGCGTCATTGCTGATCCCAATGCGAATTAAGTACAAGTAGGTCATCATTGGTTCTATATACTGCTGTATGAATGCGTCATTGCTGATCTCAATGCGAAGTAAGTACAAGTAGGTCATCACGAAACGCGCAGAATATTATCCGAACGTGCGAGAAGCATTTCTGTAGCTTTGTTCTGACATCCCATTGCAGCGGACACTTTCTCCATTGTCATTCTCCGAATGAATGACTTGACGATACACGAATTCATTCAAAAGCCAGCCCGTATTATTAGGAACACACGCGAACGATTGGCGCATTATCTAAATTAAAAATAGAGCACAATGGTACAGTTATCGTTCATAGAAGCCGATGGAAAGATCCACTACTGTACACCGGGTTGCACTGTACCTTCAATGCATCCAGGCCGCTGAGTCTCGACTTTCGGTCCTGATCTTTAATGATGATGAACGGTCGTCCATACTCATCGAAAGCCAACGTGCCCATTTGCGACATCTTGCTGCAGCCGTCCAAGGCCACCTTACAAGTGTCCACGTGCACGGATGGCTGCGGATTTAACCACTTCACGCAGAAGCGTCTGGAACGGGCGGCTTCGATGGACGCCGGGTGAGAGGGGAGGTGACGTCACGACGGACCGATCTATTGTAGCCTAACGGGAGGGGTGTTTTGAAATTAACGCGGCCAAACATCGTTAAAACTTTACGCGCTTAATTATCAACACGTTATGAGCAGTAGCGTCATTGTAAATAGCGGTTTTTAAAAATAACACGGAGTTGTGGAAAGGATTAAATGTGTGTGTGTGTGTTTTTAATTGCATGTTTGGGTCAATGTTGAAGATTTGTTTTTCGTAATAGTTGCGCCCACCGGAAATGTCAACTGTTACCATGGTAACCGTTGACCGTTGGAGGGGTGGCGGCAAATCAGAAGGTTGCTAGGTCAGAGGTTTACCCTCTAGATCTCTTGCACGTGCGCAGGCACTGCCCATGCCTGTGTCCAACTCCTTGTCAGTGCCCCACCTGATTAGAGACCAATTCTGACCTTATTGGTCACCCAGTGCCCCTTATAAGTATCAACGTTAATCCTACAAAGTTCTCATCCTCTTAGGTTTTTTCGGTAAAGTCACGTAGGTAAAAAATTAAATTCAAATTAATAAAAGTAATAAAATAAAAAAATAATATTATTACTTTTATTAATTAATTTTTTTACCTACGTGACTTTACCGAAAAAACCTAAGAGTATGAATCCTTGCCGTCACGAAAGTTTCAAATCTAGAACCTACAAAGTCCCATCGCAAGAGAGAAACACAAACAATTAAGACAATCACCAGGACTAGTACACTCACCATTACATAACCTGTCAACCCCTTGTGCCCTACCTTATTAGAGACCAATTCTGACCTTACTGGTCACCTCGTGCCCTTATAAATCTCAATGTTAATCCTACAAAGTCCCATCGCAAGGGAGAAACACAAACAAATAGGTAATTAAATGTTTTTTTCCCGTATTGAAACTGCTGTACACCGTATGGACCTCAAAACTCAATTTCCCTGTACAAAGAATACGGGGTAAACCGTACGGGGTTGACAGCTGTGACTGCTGGATGAATGCCTCCCCACGCCGTAGATGTGATTGTGTGGGTTATTTGGCCATACTTCACCACAAATGGTCAATGCGGGTCGGTGAAGATAGGGGAGTACAGTATATAAGTATAATCACTGTACAGTACACACATGTGTTTTACTGCACTGCCATCTGCTGTTAACAATGTAGCTCTACAGATCCCGATGATCAGGTTTTAAACCGTGGATGCGTTAGCTATGACCGTCTGTCAAGGGTTGGAGGATGGGTCACGACAACCCTCGTGAAGATTATCCATTATAAACGAAACTGTAGTATAACGTGTTGCTATTAGGGATGTACCCTATGAAAAAAACCCAGCCAATTTGATTAAACGTTTTGCTTGTTTGGAGACTTTATTCAAACTATTTGGCCTGTGGCCCCATCTGTGGCACTACAAGTTTGCTGCCTGCTGCACCTATTTAATTCGGCTTCGCTTTTGTGACTTTAAATCAACGGAGAAGTTCAAACTCTGGAGCTCCCCCCCCTCCACTTCCTCTTTCGGCTCTGCGCCTTTCCTTTTCAGGACACGCCCCTTTTGCTATAGGCCCGTCCCTTTCAGTTCCGACCCCGCCTCTTCCCCTGGACAGGGGTTTGGGCAGAGGTCGCAAACAGGTTTTGATTCCTTACCCGTACCCGTACTCGGCCGCACCAGGGTCGCAAACAGGTACCCGTACCTGGCCGGGTAGGGTACGGGTACCCGTACCCGATACCCGGCCGGGTACGGGTAGCCGGGTATCGGGTAGCGTACGGGTACCCGATTGCGACCTCTGGGATGAATCCATGTTGCAGGCGCGGGTGGGTTGATTCTAGGAACTTGAATTGTAAGAAGAGACAAGACGATGGGAAATTAGTGACGAACGGTTACTCACCAGTGACTCACATCCTACCCGTACCCATACCCGGCCGCACCAGGGTCGCAAACGGGTACTCGTACCCGTACCCGGCCGGGTACGGGTAGCCGGGTATCGGGTAGGGTACGGGTATCGGGTACCTGATTGCGACCTCTGGGTTTGGGTAGTGGTGGGGTTGTTGAAAGGGCGATGGAGGGGGAGGTCAAAGCAGTAAAGGGAGTCTTCTACTTACAAACGAGTTAGGTTCCAAAGGTTCGTTCGTAAGTCGATTTGTTCGTAAGTCCAACTTTACTCCTGTCGATTCCAAACAGGTTGTATGGCATGTACGCTTAAACGGGGCATGGCTTTAAAAGTTGTATGATCTCCTATAGATGCCACTGGTTCTCCATGTTCTGCAGATGTAGACGCCACCACCACCATCTATTGCGCGGCGGTTGAACTTATGACTCGTTCCGAACAGGCAACTGGACATACGGACAGGTTTGTTCGTATCTCTGAAAGTTCGTAAATCAAGTGTTCGTAAGTAGATGAGTCCCTGCAATAGGGGTGGATGTGGCCAGTAGGGGTGAGGAGGATCAGTAGGGGTGGTAGGAATCAGTAGTGGTAGGGGTAGAGCGACTTCAGACCAGGAACAAAAATCCCTCTTGAGAGCAGCAATAATAATTTTTTTACCCGGATCAAATTGTATTTTTTCAACACAGTTCGTATGTCTTGGGATTGCTAATTGAGGGGAAAGTTATGCATTTTTAAAGAACGTTTACATTTTCAATAAATGTTTAGGCTTGTACGGATTAATCTGTAGGAATTAATTCTTCAGATCTGGCTGTTTCCAATAAATTGCAAGGTTTACATTTACATCTAGAATTCTGCATTCAGGGACCCCAATAAATACAAGTTTGAAATGGCATTTTAAAGTAGGTTAACTTTTTTTTTATTTTGGATGGTTTATTATATCAGGCTAAACTTTCCAACTGTTAATAATTTCTGCAATCATGTCGTATTTCTGCTTGTCGGTGTTATTGTGATTTACCGGACCAATGCCAAAAACTTGGTTGTAAAATTACGGTTGCTGACAATGTGAATTGCCAATACAAAATAATGCACGACACCTAATCCTGTAAAATAAAATTTGTACTTCAAATTACAAGCAAAGCGTGAAGAAAAGGGATAGTAAACACTAGCTCAAACTTAAAATATTAAATGACTCTCATTAAAAACCCTAACATGAACATTTAACATTAATCAGCAATACAATTACTGTGGTGGACTGCTTTGTGTTAGTTGAGCCCGCAAAAAATGGAAGCACTCTGGTCAATAGATGGCGCACATTTTATGCACACCAAAATTCTGATGAAGCTTTGGCACTGGGTTAGTTCACTGCGCTATGAAATGTGGCGAATTGGGTTTGATTCCTGGTCCCGGCAAACATCGGTGGCGAATATTAACCCGAACTGGTCCTTGCTCACCTCCTTTACTAACCTGCACCGACCAATGTGGTGAAGTATGGTCAGTATGTTCAACGAACGCTGAAAACAGAAAGGGCGTAGGGAGATCCTCATCCAGCAGAGGCTATAAGTGTGAATAGAGAATCGAATGTTCAGACAATGCTGACCTAGCTTGGGAGCTTTGTTTAAGCTGGGCATCCGCCGAGATTTTAACCCAGAATTTCAGCGTTTGTCAGTGCAGTACTGACCGTCATTTGGTCGCCTTTATAGCCACTCATTCACGTTTATTTGTCAACATTTTAAAAAGGCTCAACCCAGTGAGTTTTGCGTCCGCCTGTGGCACAATTGAAGGGACACATTTGAATTAACTGACCATAAACGACAGTACAGTATTTGCAACTGACTCTCCCACTATAATTTGTGCAAATCGTGGAGGTTTCGCAATATGGCATACGACTGGCATTGAAATTACAGGTTAATTAAAAATAATGGTAATTGATGCAATGTTTTATACGTTCACTGAAGATGCAACTTGGTAACGTAAAATGTGCAACTATTCTAGTCTTTTTAGTTCATACTCAGACAATGGATCTTAGCTGGTAAGATTCATTGAGCTAAAGAGTTATTTTACAAAGTTGACCATCCCAAGACTGTTTTTATCACTCGTCACCTGCTTAAACAAAATAAGCTTGAAATTACCTCTGGTTCAATCCAGGGTACTTTTTTATTTGTACAAGTGAAGGAATTCCTTCTCCCGTAAATATAAATAGGAACCCAGAGGAGTCAGAAATAGAGGAACCTCTTTCCTAATGAATCACTTCAATACCGTGTATCTTTTGTATCGATGAGCGAGAAAAAAGGAAGCATTTGTTGCATAAACAAGTAACTTCCTTGTGCTGCTGAATACAAACCAAGTGTGCGAATGTCTATACTATTTTATCTTTTGCTACTTCGCCAATGAGAAAAAGATAAATATTGTTGGTGTAAGTCGAGTACATCTTCTGACATAACTGCAAACCCCGTTCGTAAATGTCCTGTCCGATTACCTATTGTCCGCCTTTTGCTTAATTAGAAAGCAGGAGAATTTACACTTTATTGTTCATTAAAGTAAGTGGGCTTGGGTAGGATAGGTCGCTATAATGGATTGTGACTGATGCTCAAGGATAATGAAGAAGCGGCAACCATGGGAAAGAACGTGTCTAAGAGGACGTTACCGAGGAGATGGAGGGATGATATCAGCTTGTATTCAGATACAGTACTCGGTGGATTGCCATATCGCAGACTCATGAGAGATAGCCACGGCATTGGGATGCCTTTATCCAGCAGTGATTCACTATGACAATTACTTTTTTCCACGTCGGATTACTGTTTATCTTTCACTTATTTGTGAATGACACAAAGGAGACACACGCACGGGCTCATTCAGGTGGAGAAACTTCCTCTATTTCTCAAAGAAAACTCTTAAGGGAGAGTGAATGAATGACTGTCTTTTCACATGATTGCTGTTGGGTGTATACAAAGCCACCTATTTATAGATACCCCACTGATTTCTAACGACCTTCTTGCTTCCTGGTCAACGGTTGATTGGATATAGGTACAGTATTGTGAAAGTGATGGCTCGTGTATTGAGATTGGTTGGGGACATACAGAGGCTTTGCAATTAAATTTTTTATATAATTTATCCATATAATTTATACATTTTGATCACCCTGCAGTGTTTATATAACCGGCTTGGTTGCTCGGCGGTAGTGACTTAAAATTCACAATAGTTGGCCTATGTATTCAATCGGCCTCGTCATAGGAATGTAGATTTTCCAACACTGGCTCACGGCTGTCAACAGCATACACGCCACAATAATACATCAACGCCCATGTGAGCACGACGTCACTTATACGTGAGAACTTGTAGTGTTATGTTCTGTATAACTGCGCTGCATGACCAGCGGTGACATGCCCAAGCAGCTTCTGTTTGGCCGGATAAAGGGGGATAAACGGCCACGACACGAGCTGGGGTGATGCGATACGAGAGGATGTGGGGCTGAGTGGACTTGCCGAAGACTGGTACCAGCGGTGTCAATATCGGTCTTTGTGGAAGGAAGTTCGTGAAGGACGCAGCTACTGAGCAGTTAGAGGCAGTCGCCCCTCTAGCAACAACGGAGGGCATAGGAGCGACGCTCACAACAAGATAACATACAGCAAGTTGGCACAGTAGGGGGCACAGGCGGTGCATTTTGCCAGTCATCTCTGTCAACCCATGGCACCTGGCTCTCTGCTGACCGGCCGGAGGTCAGCAGAGAGCTTTCGCCACTTCACGTGACCGGCCTCAAAAAAAGAGTCCACCAGGTCTGGCACAGGCGCCGTGGTGATGTCCCCATCATCTTCTTTGTTCTTTCGGTAAAGTCACGTTGAAGGGAAATAATAAAATAACAAAAATAAAACTCATATAAAAAATATTTCCCTTCTACGTGACTTTACCGAAAGAACCAAGAAGATGAATCCCTGCAGTCACGAAAGCTTTAAATTGAAATGTCCCCATCACTTAAGTGACGTTTGTTGTTTGTTGTTGTCACCGTTCCCACACCTTTGCGCGGACATCAATCGACAAATGAAAAGGAAACTTTGCCCCCGAGAGACGTGACGTTTGGGGGTGGAATGCCGAACGTCACTGGGCGGTCCGGAAGAGGGGCGGCAGTGGTTGAGGATGAATGGGATGGAGGGAGGAGGAGGAGGCAGGGAGGGAGAGAGGAATGATGGGGAGGGGGAGGAGAGGAGGGATGGTGCACGGCAATGCACGCAAGTGCGTTGAACTTCTTTCGCACCGTACGCAGTCGGAGGTGTGATGATGATGTTAATGATGTTGGGGATGATGATGAGAGATGATGGCGCGGGTTAAAAGTGGGGATGCTTGAGGTGGTGGCGGAGAGGGATGATGATGTTGGGGGGGGGGGATGGTGGGGGAGTTTGGGTGGGTGGGGGGATCAGGGGAGGGAGAGGGGGGGTCACGGCAGGGAGGTGGGGGATCAGAGGAGGGAGGGGGGGATCACGGGGGGATCAGGGGAGGGTGGGGGGATGGGGGGTGTGGAGGGGGGGGGGTCACGGGAGGGGGGGATCACGGGAGGGGGAGGGAGGGGGGATGGGGGGCAGAAAGGAGGGGGGTGGGGGGTGGAGAGGGAGGGGGGATGGGGGGTGGAGAGGGAGGGGGGGGGAGAGGGGGGATCAGGGGAGGGTGGGGGGATGGGGGGTGTGGAGGGGGGGATCACGAGAGGGGGGGGATCACGGGAGGGGGGATGGGGGGCAGAAAGGAGGGGGGTGGGGGGTGGAGAGGGAGGGGGGGTGGGGGTGGAGAGGGGGGATCAGGGGAGGGTGGGGGGATGGGGGGTGTGGAGGGGGGGACCACGGGAGGGGGGGGATCACGGGAGGGGGAGGGAGGGAGGATGGGGGGCAGAAAGGAGGGGGGTGGGGGGTGGAGAGGGAGGGGGGATGGGGGGTGGAGAGGGGGGATCAGGGGAGGGTGGGGGGATGGGGGGTGTGGAGGGGGGGATCACGGTAGGGGGAGATCACGAGAGGGGGAGGGAGGGGGGATGGGGGAGGGAGGGGGGATGGGGGGGAAGAAGGAGGGGGGTGGGGGGTGGAGAGGGAGGGGAGATGGGGGGGTGGAGGGGGGATCACGGGAGGGAGGGGGGAGAGGGAGGGGGGATGGGGGGTAGGGGGGGATGGGGGGTAGGGGGGGATGGGGGGTAGGGGGGGATGGGGGGTAGGGGGGGATGGGGGGTAGGGGGGGGTGCCACCCTTTCCTCCCGGGGTGCGCCCCGGACCGAGACGTTCAGTGGGCCAGGGGCACAGCGAACGAAGCGGACGGATATCACCAACACACGCAACACAGCCGGCAACAACAACAACACCACAAGACAGTCAGATTATAACACCAAGAGAGACATAGCCGGTGTGTGTGTGTGTGGGGTCACAGCGAGAGGTTCAATTAAAGTTTATCTTCGGGAACATTACAACAATACGACGTTACTTGTGCCGTGGCTTGTAAGGCTCGCTAACGAACAGTGCTGACTGTATTACTTCTCGCTACATGGACGACAGAGGGGTGTTGGACCGAGCATAGCAGGGCCGAGCTGTTAGGATTCAAGAAAGAAGAATAAATATCCATCGTGAAGTGGTCCGTTGACTTTTGTTGGAGTACAGTACGGTGGTTTGTGTGGTTATTAACCACTGTAGTCGCAATGCACTGCCGTGCAATGTTAGCGGACACGCGTGTTTGCCTTATCGCATTCTGGGACCTTTAAGGTAAGCAAAACACACACACATATACTACATATATACACCTGCCTTACAGTATATAGTAACGTAAGCCAATGATGTGAATGTAATTGTATCGTGGTCGGTCTCGGAATAGCGAAGTGCTGAATTCTCCACGCCAGGTTTACTAAAATAACTGTGTCCATGTACATCTTACAGTGTTAGTAACTTGAGATAATGTTCATGTAATTGTATCGTGGTCGGTCTCGGAATCGCCAAATGCTGGACTCTGCGTGGCCAGGTTTACTACAATAACTCTGCAGTCCGCCCTGTGTCCATAATCACCCCAACTCGGCCACCAGCTCTAGCAGAGGTTAAGCCTGGATTAGTGCCTGGGGTGGTGGTGGCACCACCACCAACCACCAACCACCACCACCAACCACCACCACCAACCAGCACCACCAACCACCACCACCAACCACCACCCACCACCACCAACCACCACCAACCAGCACCACCACCACCAACCACTACCACCACCACAACCACCACCACAACCACCACCACAACCACCACCACAACCACCACCACAACCACCACCACAACCACCACCACAACCACCACCACCAACCAACCACCACCCACCACCCACCACCACCACCAACCACCACCAACCACCACCAACCACAACCAGCCACCACCAGCCACCACCAACCACCACCAGCCACCACCAACCACCACCACCAACCACCACCAGCCACCACCAACCACCACCCACCACCAACCACCACCACCACCACCAACCACCACCAGGCAGCAACATCCGTCGTGTTGTACTGCACTTCTAAGCGTCCACGCGTCATTGATCTCCGCCGGCGTGGTTTAAGTTACTGGTCAACTTGAGCGGCGTTGGCTCCGAGAGGGCCTCGTTCAGCAAGTGGGTTAACGCGGGGCCTGGTTTGTGATATTTGAGAGTTCGCTGTTGTCGAAATGTTCTATTTGTCATTGTTACTGTGTTGTTATGGTACGTACTATTGTGCACTGGTGATTTGTAAATACTATACGGAACAATAGTAAAGTGCTCAGAGAGCGTGCCTTTGGGAATAGTAATTAGGTCTCGATATTGGTGGGAGTTAACACTTTGTATGTAGCAGCGTGGTCCAATATTTTTGACCCTCTATTGGAGTTTTGTACTGGGGAATATTCCATAGGAGGATTAGTGTCCAGAGGCTGGACTAGCATATAATACGTGGGTTTCCCATTCAAATGTTATACGCAAATATATTCTGTTATACCCCATTGAATCTCAATGTGAAAAACGGGTTTGTTTCTTTAATCAGGAGGGTCCTATGCTAATGAGTTAATACATTTTACTTGGTCATTACATGATATGTTAATACAGAGACAAGCTCAGAATATACAGAATAGTCTACTTTACATGGCATCCATCCACGCAGTACAGTACTTTGTACTATATAATTTAACCGGATGTCCTCGAAACACCTGTTACTGTTTACATAAAACACCTAAAGTATGTTTTTTTTAATGACACTGTTGAATGAAAAACTTAGGGAACATGCCACTTAAACCATTTTTCGTAACAATAATTTGTGGAAAATATATGGTTCCTTAGATGTTACCGGCTTAGTAATGTACAAATGTCCCTACAGGCTTCTGTCAAGGTGGGTGTAAGCATTTTGCAATGTTGGCTTTAAAATGTCAGAAATTTTTATTGAATGAGTGTTTTGTTGATATTAATAAATACTGTCCTTTACTGTCCTGACATTTGAACCCTTCCTTTTGATCCAGCCCTCATAGTTATTGCCAACTCGAGATGGCACCTGCTTGTACTGTACACAATTAATGTGGTAACGTGGCCTTAATGAAATACTGAATACACCATCGTGTGGAATTGCGCAACATGGTATAAAGTCACCAAATACCGTGGGTGTCGGCGTAAAACTACGACTCAAGATTTCTTGAGATGTCTTGAAAACTGAGGGCATAGTTTGTGCACTTTCATGGTTCAATTTATTAATTTTGCCATGAGGTTTCCACTGGTCGTGTGCATTTCTCCACCCAAAAAGTGGTGAAATAGCGGTTTCCACCAACAAGCGATTCCAGTGTCTAAGGATGTAGGGTGTAACAACCAACGTCATGCATCTTGGTCTTTGAAAATGGAATGTCTGCTCAATCATTAGTCATAACATGTTTGGGTAAAACAACTTTGGTTGTTCATCTTTGGACAATTGTGAGTCAGAGGTGAGGTACATTGGGGCCACCCCTTTTGTGTGGGTCGTTTTCAAATCTTACTTCATGCTCGTCAATGCGGGTTAGTGAAGGTTGGGGTGGGGGACATCCGAGCATAGTACAGTACAACAATGAATGGTTGCTGCTCTGCCTTCCGCTGATAGTAGCATCCTTGAAATGTGTGGAAATTTCAGCGATCCCACGTTGGGGACCGATGAGAATAGAAACAGAAACTGGTGATTTCTCATCCGTAACATTTGAAGAAGTGTGAATTTAGGGCCTCTCCTACATTACTACCAAACCCGTGCCATGTGTCTGGAAATTCACATTTAGTTGTGGAGGGTTTTTTTTTGTTTTCAAATCAAACAAGGAGCATTCTTCCTCTTCTAAGACGAGGTTGAAGCCAGAAGGTGAGTGCGTAGCACAGGAAGATGATGAACCACATGCATCCTTGGAAAAAGCCCAGAATCATGCCTTTCCAGATGGCCCACTGTTGTGCCATCACCAGATTATTGTCGTCCCTGCACGTCAATTAACTCTAAATGATTATTGACACAGCAATCGCAAAATCGTAAAGTTTTCCATGGCAAAACAAATGGAGCAGTACATATTCTTACTAGGCATATAGGTCATAATTGCTATTTCGCGTGAGCTACGACAATGTTTAATATTATTTTGTCTAGGAGTGCCACGCATTGGCGTAAACCACACTTCCGATTCGTACTGGTTGGCTGCGTACGGTGCGGAAGAAGTTCAGCACACATGCTTAATGCCCGACTGCCCAAAACTTGATTCAAGTCTAGCTTTTTAAATCCTTTATATTAAGTTCACTTGCTTGCTTGCTTGCGCGCTTACGACCGTGCAAATCTTTCGGTCGTTTTTTTAACCTACTTCCCGTGATCCAATCGAGCTGACATTTTGCACACAGACTCGTTGTGCGTGACAATTTAATTTCGTGAAAATTAGTTAAATTTTTTTTTACACTTTTTAGGAAAAAAAAATGATATTTAATTACCAATTGCTTAATGGTGGCAGGCAATCGTCTGACCTATAGGTGGCAGCCATCTCAAGCCAGAGGACGAGAGGACTCTAGCCGCCACGCATATAAAGGATTTATAGTGATTAATTTTTTGATGACGAGCCTCTTATGTCCGTCATGCTGACCACACATCATAAAACTTTGAACACAGTACGTAACCGTGCTTACAAAAACATCAGTCACGTTTCTAATCAATGCTGGATGAAGAAGGCCTTCCGCCAAAGGGCTTCACCTTTTATTACGCTCTTGCGATGCAGCGTTCTGATTAATACCTGCACACTCCATCTCCACGGTTGATTTCATCTTAGACATGCACCCATGTTTCAAGGGAGTGAAAATATTTGAAAGTTGCCACTAGAAACAAAAACACAAAAAACCGTGCAAGTTCTCTATATATATTTTTTTACGTGACATTACAGTTGGTGGATACACACAGAATATGGGTTGGTTGAAAACTATCGGGGGCGTTGTAAACTCACTTGAACAAAATGTTTGCACATGTTTTATATCACTGTACTGTAATACCGGTATAGGCACTGTATGCAATTCAGATCAAACCTTTACGTGTGTGCCACAGGGCTCTTGGCACACTGCAGTAGAGCATTTAGTTTACCTGCGTTACATAATGCAAATTATACACATGTATTGTGTTTACGTACTGTATTGGCAATATCGAGCCAATAAACAGGTGCATTTATTTAATGTCTTGCTCACACACTACGGGGTTTAACGCACACTCTTCAAAGTTGACTTTAGATATTTTGTGCCACTGCACTTATTCTGTGGATGGTTTTCGGCACAAGGTAACGCAGGTGTGTGTACTGTAAGTCCATTAATACGTTTGTATTGCAGCACATGAGTGATATTTTATGGCTATCATCATGCATGTATGTTGAACTTCTTTCGCACCGTACGTAGCCCAGCCATGCTAATCATAAACCATTCCCTGTGGGGGTCAATGGCTTTCCCACGCTGTCATAAAGCCCCTCGAAGTCCTGTGATTTCATCTTCCGCATGAACTGATAATCTAATCTCTCCATCTCTAGGGCAGTCAAGCCTCCTCTTTGGTGTCTTCCTTCGTGATGGCACCCACTTGCTGTCACCAGTTTTTGTTGTTGTTGTTTTATCCACCTGCCATCATCCCGGCTCGCGAGGTTGTCCTTCCTGAGCCTTCTCGCTCACTTTCATTCACGGTCAACGTGATCGTCTCTGATTTGTGTTTGTTCCCTGATCCATCTTGTCCCCCCCCTCTCTCTCTCTCTCTGCCTCTCATTGTCATTCCAAGCGTGCATCTCTCCATGCCTCTTTGTGTACTTTTGTTTGAATGTACTGTCAACTGTACTCTATTATACATCTATATTGCTTCGTTATGGTCAAAGATTTAAAGTACACTTCATTATGCATGATAGTATTTAGTTTGAGTTGTTGCAGTAGACAAGTGCCACACATTTCCTGTATGGGCTTTGTATGTACGTGTATGTTGGGTTTCTTTCTCACCGTACGCTAGCCGACAGACCGTTATCACCCTGTCATCATTCCACTGCTGGATGAAGGCATCAAACAAGCCATCGCCACCCATTCCACACAGTTATTTGATACGACGTCTTTTAAGCCACCGACGCACGACCCCGATGTCATCGCTCCCATCTCCTCGGCGGATGAGTTCGATTCCTGTCACTCCTTGGCCGTCATCCCCTTTGAGCGACCTAACCAAGCCGAAGCCCACTTAATTTTTGTATTCACAGTTTGAATGATCGCT